CCTCAGATTCACTCTAATGGGCCTGATTTGGGTTTTGACTCCTGATCTTGTATACCTTGGTCAGGGCTCAAAGCTACCCCTTTCTCTTGCCACATGAGGTCATCACAGGCAAGGACCCACCCCCCTCAGCCCCCAGCTGCACCCTCCGAACCATCAAAGTCTGCCTTTTGTGCTCCCATGATGCTTTTTGCCTTTGTTAGTTTCTCTCCATTGTTACTTGGCAGGATGCTCCAGTTCATGGCAGCCTTCACTTGTGAACCTGTCCCTCAAGGAAACCTGGGAGATGTCACCATCTGTCTCACTGACTCCGTGGACATTCTTATCCATCTACACACAACTGGAAACTGGTTCAGAGTCCGGTTCTCATGGGATGGGCCGCAGAACAATGGGTGAAGAGGCCAGTTAATGAGTCCCAGTCTTCAATCTGCTGCGTGATACGGCAAATCTCTTGAACTTTCTGGTCCTTTGTTTCACAAGAGCTAATTCTTATAAGGACTCATTGTTCATGACTGTGAGGCTTAAAGGGATAGTAAGGACTTCTCTGTATGAATTTCCTTACTGCTTTGCACATAGTGTGGCCCACCAAAGCCTGGCTTGTCATAGTTGAATTAAAACACTCTTTGCAGTCCATGTTCTAAAACCATGAGCCAGGCGCCTGAGCCAGGCTGTGTGACCCATTCTATCCTTGTTAACTGGACAATTGCCTCATGTCACTGCTGTGCATTATTAAGTCCTCTTGTATAATGCATGGTCTTTTAAAAAAGACAAGCAGGCAGAGATGGGCAGATATCTGTGAGTTTGAGGCCAGTTATACAGAAAAACCTTGTCTCAGAAAACCAAAAAAAAAAAAAAAAAAAAAAAAAAAAGAAAGAAGGAAAGAATATTAGGATCTGTCAACCATCATGGCATAGTGAGTCCAGCCCAGAGCAGCTCAGAACTTCATGTCCAGCTATGACCCCATGGAGGCAGCTCAGGGGATGAAGTGTCTTTCTAGGGCATACTTCACGTGGAAGGTCTCCCTCAGAGAGTCTGCTCTTCTCAAGTCCCTGGCAGTTGCCTCGGGGTGTGGGAAAGATCCAATAAACTCTCTTACCTGAAGAATGGGGTCTACTTTTAAAGATACTCCGAGCTCTTGGCCTGACCACTGAGAAAGACCAAAGAGCAGAAGGGGCTCAGAGGCCCCCAGAAGGAAGAATAGTGTGGCACACTAACAAGAATGCCCTTACTAATGTTCCTATGACTTCTGTCCTATGATGTCATAATGTCACCCTTCTAACCTTAACAGGAAGGCCCTTTCTCATGGATGCAGAAACAGGCTTGGTTAGCCTGGAATTAGAAGATCCTGTTCCCAGAATGTGTGTCCTTTCCATATGCCGTGCTACCCGCCCTCACCCTGTGGTTCTGTCTCCCTGGCATGCATGAAGGCTAGCAAGAGGATGCTTGTGCTCCTATGGACGGACCAGCCACTCAAGCCACCTTTTTGTGGCCAGCAGGAGGTGATGCAGCTGGTCCCATGGTGGTGGTGGCAGTCATGGTGGCTAAGAGTTGGCAGTCATGTGTGTCCAACCTCTTGACACAGTGTTGTCATCTATTAATCTTACACTCAAAAACTGCATAATCAAATCACAATAAGTCACAAAAATAAAAAAAAATAAATCTTCACAGTGTCCTAGACTTGCGATTTTGTGTCTGCATTCATAGTTATTTTTGGTTGCCTGAGTCTGTGGGTTGGACACAAACATAGGTGCATGATACTCAGGAACCTGGTCAGTGACTGAGTGGTCCTTGATGGAGTATCAACTTCCTTGAGCCAACCCACACACATTTCCAAGGTGGCCCCCCTGGAACTCTGCCCATTTTTTCTCTGCCCCCTTCTCCATCCCATTCTCTCCCTTTGTCTTTCTCCTTCGTCCCCTTCATCCTCTTCCTCCATCTATTCCTCTCCCCTTCCCCTTCCCTCCTCCCCTGCTTCATGCCCTCAGCTCCTCACCAGCATCATAAGGACCTGGCAGGAGGCAGAGCCAGCCTCGCATGTGGCAGAATAAATGCTGAGCTGTGACAATCCTGTCTGCCGCAGAAAGAGAGGTTTTATGTAGTTTTTGGCATTTACAAATCCTTTGTGAAAAGGTCACTCTGTTCTTGGAATCTTTTATTAATGCTGAAGACTGGCCCCGGAAATGTCATGTCTTTTTACCATGATATTTACTCAAAAAAGTATGACTAAGCATCGGAAATTCTATCAGCAGCCCGACCCCGGGAAGCTCGGGGCTCTGCGGGGACAAACAGATGCTGCTTTCCCTGGAATGTGGGTACTCCCATCTCTGCGAACCCTGAGTGGAGAGGAGGAGTGGACAAGGATGGGTGCTACCTGGGTGTGCACTGCTGCTGCCCCAGAAGCCCTAGAGGACAAGCTGGGCATCCGAGCTGGAAGGGAACATGGCGTATATGCAATTCTGCATCCCCACCCTATGGATGTGGAGACTGACTCTCAGAGAGGGGAAGATACCCACTGTATCAGCTAGCAAGTCAAGTGCAAATGGAGACTGAAGGCTGGGCCTTCTGCTCCTGTGTGGACCGGCAGGGTTCTTCACTGCAGTCCAATGTAGTCTGCAGTGAAAAGAACACAGACCTGGGACACCCTATCCCTCCATCGCTTCCCCTGTCTCCCTGCCTGACTGCTTGGAGCAGCAAATACCTTTCTTTGCAGCCCTAGTCCCCTTTCAAATGGTCTCAGGGGCTTTGGGCAGGGAGGGGTCAAGGTCTATTCCATTATTGTCTGTCTCAAATTGCCACAAGAAATTCAACAGTCTAGGGACTCTGACATCCGTCACTTGTTTCCTCTCTGTCTTGAGGCTACAAGTCTAAGATTGAGCTCAGCATGGCTGGGCGCTGGGCTCTATTCCTGGCTTGCAGATGGATGCTTCTCACTGTGTCCTCATATGACCTCTTCTTTGTGCTTGTCAGAGTGGGGAGAGGATGCTCACCCTTTCTAATGTCTCCCCTTAGAACATTCATTGCATCTTAGGAGTGTCACCTTTGTGACATCATTTAACCCTGATAACCACCAAAGCCCTCATTTCCATCATTGTCACACTGGCTGCTAGGGCTTCAACACATGAATTTTGGGGCACACTCAACTGTTAGCACTCATCATCTTGCAGGGACAGAGGACGTGACAAAGAGTGGGAAATGAATGGGTAAACTGCCCATTGTGTGTCTGAACATGCTTTGTTATTGTTTTGCCTCTAGATGAAGCCTGGGGAGGAAGGAGAGTCTAGCTCTGCCTGCTCAGTCCATCAGAGGAGCTTGCGTCTCAGGGGAAAAGGCAATCCTCAAGCAAGGAGACCAATAGGCAGAGGGAATGGGAGAGGAGACCATGTGTTATTTTAGTATTAATCCCATCTTCAACTATCCATCTCCTCTCATCCATTTCATTGGTCTGAAAGGACCATGAGATCAGAGGCTGAGTCACTGACAGCCTCCACCTCCTTTGGCCAGATTAAGGGCTTTAGGCTGAGGGTGTGACTCCTGCGTGACTAGTCAGTGCTTCGGGGACTTTTGCTTGGACTCTGAGCTCCTTGTGGATTTGAACCTGGAAGGATGCAGCATCAACCAGTGGTAATCTTATGTGACACAGGCTTACTTTTCACGAGGTCAGAGTTTAGTCTTCATACTAATAACCACACCTGGAACATGGAAGTCTTAATATGCATTTGTCAGTAGTGTACACTGGAACACCTATATCCAGCCACACCTGCAGCGAGCCTATTGCTAAACATTGGTTATGGACAGCCCACACATTTCTTCTTGTTTTATTTAAGCCAGTTTAAGTCAGGCTGTCTGGCCAGTTGCAATCTAAATCTGTTAAAGTGTGAGGTTAAAGACAATAAACTGGCCCTACCCCAACTTCTGATCCAGCTTGGAGAAAGCAGAGGTGGTCTTCCTGAGAGCTTCCTCTGCTGGTGGCCATTGGAAAACATGTTGGGAACAAAATCTCTGGTGGGTTCCTTGTGACTCACTGGATTGGCTGACTGGTAGAACCTAGCACTGAGGCTTTCCTGTCTACACTGGGGAAGGGCATGGCCCAGAACTGATATTCTTCCTGTAAGGGACATTGTTATCCAAACAAGTGGTATCAACACATGACTAGGGTTTTCCCTTGTCCGCTGAGAAGATGTCGGCTCCCTCTGTGGCTCATGGTCAGCAGGGTGGGAGGGGAGGCACTTGTTGTATGGACCATGCATGTGTGACCACAGCCATAAGCAGGAATTCCATGTACTTGTTGGGCAGGGCCCGCTCCAGAAAGTTTGCTTGTTTGCAGAAATCCACCTCCTCTGAAGATGAACAGTGATGAGGGGCCATGGATCTTGGCATGCCATATGCTTTAGAGCTGGTCCAGAAAAACTCGGGGAAGTAGAACCCAGCACCGTCTGGTAGCCTGACCCAGCCTCTGCTGTTCCAGGTCCTCTTAGGGACAGGGGACCATGAAACCCTGCCCAGTGGGTACTGGTGGGGCCTGGGACAACAAGGTAGGGTCCTACTGGTAAGCAGCATCACCAGCCCTGTTGCTGCTCTTCCTGTCTCCATCATTCATGTAGTGAGCAAAGGAGAATGGGGTGAACTGCACCCCTCCTCCTTCAGGAAAAAAAATGAGGAGCCAGACCAGGCTGGGTGACTCAGAGGTACTTTCAGACACGTATTGGTTTCTTGGTGTGAAAATAGGCCCAGAGAGTCAGGAGATGTAGCTCTAATAGGAGATAAGGGCCTGCCATCATTTCACAGTGAGTGGGACGAGCCGTACTAACAGAATAACTCACACTTCCCTCATAGGCTAGAACGTGACGTCTTCAGAAGAAAATCAATTCTTTGGCGGAAAGAATGACTCTGCCCTTAAATGGTCAGGAAAAGAGTGGATGGCCTTCTTGGTTGACAGGATGAGCCTGACGTAGAACTGAAGCCCATTTCTCTGCCAGAAGAGGGCAAGTCCTGTGGCATCTAGCTGCAGTGTTGTAGACTGTGAGCAGGAGAAAGGGCAAGATTCCAGAACTGCTCAGTGGACAGTCCAGAGGAAGGGTGTGGGTACACCACGCAGGAGGTGTCAGACTTAGAGGTAGGGCAGGCAGAAGGTACAGAGAGACTGGTGGGAGAGAGAAAGAAAAAAAGGAGTGTCCGAATGAGATCTCACTCCTTTTCCTCTATCCTATGGCATGCAAGACCAGAGGTCCCCACAATGCTGTGTGCATCATTTGCCCTGGAGGGCTTGTGAACTGCGGCTTGCTGGGCTGTGCTCCGAGAGCATCACACACAGCAGGTCTGCCGTGGAGCCTGAGAAATGGGGTGTCTAACAAGTGCTAAATGTTGCCGAGGTTGCTGATCAGAGGCGCGCACTTGGAGAGCTGCTGGCCTGCTGTTGAATGTCCTGCTGCTGCCTGCTGTCTGAGAGATGCTTGAACTCTTCAGGCAAAGCTGCTCCTGTGGTCTGCAGAGATTGGCCTGAGAAGGTAAAACATTGACAGGGGAGAGTAGGGTGGCCTCCCTTCTCTCAGAAAACAGACCACAAAAGGCTGATTTCCAAGTCACCCATGGCCCCAGCAGGCAAAGGACCTCCCTTTTGTAGGGTATAAAGAAGGTTCTCAGCTTGGGTGGTTCATTCCAAGCATGTCTTGCCCCCTGGGCTGAGGTTTATGGAGGGTGCAGCTTGTGGACGTAGGAAGCAGCCCAGGGACATAGCCCTCGTTCCAGGAATTGGTGTCAAAGTTCACGCTTGTCCTTCCTCTCCTGTGCTGTGTGACACAGCGAGGATGACGGTTAATCTGCAGTGCCTCAGTCTTCCTATCTATGAAATGGAGCAAAGAATGTGCCTGTTGTACGGTTCACAGAGATTGCTTTGGGAGAATGAGGCAATGGATTAGAAATTAATATAAATCATGGGCAGTGTGCTATTCTCTTATATTCTGGAGTAGGGGGGTTGCTTCCAGGGCTCCCTCCCAGATACCATAACCCAGAGATGCCCAAGTCTCTTGCATAAGATGGGATACTGTTTGTATAGAACATGCAGACATCTTTCTGCATGACTTAAATAATCTCCAGGTTGCTTCGCTGTCCAATGCAATGTAAATCATATGCAAGTAGTTGTTAATACTGTATTGTTTGGGGAATGATAGCAAGAAAAGCTCTCTACTTGTTCAAGACTTACAATATTTCATTTCTCAATATCTCAGATCTATGGTGGGCTGAATCCACCAATGTGGCTAGAATCCATGCCTCTGAAGACTGACTATGGTTATTATTATTATTATTATTTTTAACTTTTAGCCAGGGGAGAAATAAGAAAAGGGGGTTCTGTGTAGGGGAAACTCTACCTCCCATAAGGTTAGTTGCTTTTCCTTTTGTCCATATTTTAAGAGAATTCAGATTTTAAAAATAATCGCACCAGGCAAAAGTCCCCACTTGAGTTATGTCCTGTGCTGGCCTTTGCCAGGACTCCTATGAACATGGAAGATGGGCGTGAGTTCTTGGTGCCTGGGAAATGTTGGAATGTTCTGAGTTCAAACTGTGCAAATGTTCCTTCTTTTGAGATTTGATGTTAATATCAGAAGGCTTTGGTCCATGACAGCATGCTCAGAGATTGCCCAAGTGCAAGGACAAATGGCCAGCATTGTGTCAGCCCTGTCTTATCGAACCCCTTCTGTCTAGTGGGAGCCTTAGGGCTTAACTTCAGCTTTGAAGGCAGGCACTGATGTACCCATTTCAGAGATGAGGAGGCTGAGGTCATGGGAGTTAAATTCCTTGGTTAGAGTTACAGTTAGTGGGCATCATCGGAGTCCTTATTGTCTGAGTGTGTCCCTCTGCTTCCTGACGCCAAGCTCTAAACTGTGAGATGTTTAAGAACTACAGAAAGGAACTGCTATCACCATATCCCTCCATTGATTTTTAGTGCTCAGAGTAATTCTCTTGATCCTTTTATTTTCCTAGCTGAACAAATATCCAGCTACTTGTCTGTATCAACAGTGACAGCATTGCCTACATGGCCTCCTCTATGCCCTGGACCCTGAGTAACAGATCCTCAGCCCCAAGTGACCACAGATACCTGGAGGTAAGAGAAAGAGGTTTTTACAAGCCTTCTTGCTTTGTTGTTGTCTCTTTTTTCTCTCTCATTAGTCTACTGCCTGGGAAAATTCCCAGCTTGTCCCCTGTCCCCACCCCCACCCCAAAGCCACTTTGTTGCGCTGGCATAATTTCTTACAATAACATTAACATATCACTGGAGCTCATTACCTTTGGTGTAATAGTTCCCTATTGAACTGTGTCAGACTAATTATGTCAGTTCCTTTTCATTCCAGTTTAGTGCTTCTCCAGAGAGCCACAGTGCAGCACTGGTAATAATGATTAAACTGCTGTCTAATGCTCCACTGGATGGCCAAACCAAACAGGGAAATTCCTCGCTGAAGATGGGGCTCACACAGCCCCGCCCTTGATACAATTTGCTGTTTTAAAAGCCATTCCCTGGTGGCCATTTCTACGTGACATTGCAGGGCTGGCATTGTCGGGGAATGAGAGGACCAATCAGAGAAGGAAATAACTTTGCAAGACCTGCAGTAACCAAGAGGCAGCTTGGGTGCTTTCCACTGGCCCGGGGAGCCTTGGAGTTCTGATGGGGACCATCTGGAGCAGCTCAGCCTGCGGAGGTGGGAGTACAGGAAGGGGCCAGGGTAATGAATCAGGACAAGCCAATATCAAATGCTTAAAGCTCTGTTGCCAGTGTCAGCTGAAACAGCCCCGGGAAGATGAATGAAAATGAAGTCATTTTCACCTTCCGATAGTAGTCTGGGAGAGCTCTTTGCTGGAGCTCAAGTCGAACACGCCTTTTTTTTTTTTTTTTTTTTTTTTTGCATAAAGGGAAGGAATGAACCTCACATTTTGGCAGAAGCTGTGACAGAGGGTTGATGCTCTTTACCTCCCAATGGGATGCAAATCTCTTCTGAGAACCCATCACCCACGGTTATGATTCTAATAATAGCAGCTGGCATCAAATGAGTAGTTACCTTGTGAAGGCATTGAGTTGAGCTTTCATTTAAGCCCCAGAAAGAACTTTATGGGGGAGTGTCTTATAGCCCCATTTTGTAGATGAGAATCTGGGGTATAGGGAGATTAAGCAATTCCAAGTCACTCCTAGAACCTCCACATTTGACTACAAAGTCCAGAATATATACAAAGTCATATTCTCTCATCATTCAACCAAACAGTATGATTAGGATCGTCTGCCCTCCTGCCTTGAGCTGTGTCCTCAAGTTACTTTGTGATCATGGTGGACACTACCTCCACTTTCTTTGGTCATGAATCCACAGATAATATGAGTACAGAATGAACCATTCTGTGAGCAGGTGAGGGTGGAAGCGTAGAAAACACTGCATTCGTTCAGCCACAGTGGCTTGTTACATGACTGGCTCTCCTGGGCGCAAGGGATGCTGGGATCAGCAAGAGCTAGCACAGACTTTGCTTTCTCAGGATCTTAAGTTCATTTTGTAGAAAATGAACTAAGACAGGATATTGGTACCAAAAAGGTGGATGGCTTTTGTGCAAATATCTAACAGTACGAAGTTGGTCCTCAAGCAGGGCACCCAGCAGAGGCTGGAAGAGTGCTGGGATGCATGCTGGTAAAAGCCTACATTGTTGTAAATGGACTGCTAAAGATGACTCTGATGAGGTCTTGGAAGAAAACAGTGGAGAGCTGCAGAGAAAGCCTTGACCTTAGAGAGTATTTGAGATATCAAGAATGTTGGTAGAAGCATGGATGGTTCTTAGCCTGCTTTGTGCTGTATCACAAAGTACCAAAGACTGGGTAACTTACAAAGAAAAAGACAAACTTATAAAGAAAAGAAACTTGTTGTAGTTCTGGAGGAAAGGAAGTCCAGTGTCAGGGTTCCAGAATTCAGCCAGGGCTTGTGGGCTGCTTCGTCTCATGGCTGAAGGTGGGAAGATGGTAAGAGAGAAAGGGTAAGAGAGTGTTGAACTTGAAGTTTTCAACGGGGAGCCCACTTTCATGGTAACCAGCTCTCTCCCACTCTAAGGCATTTGTCCCTTCATGAAAGTGGTATCCCCATAGTCAAACACCTCTCACTAGCACTACCTCATGTTTCTAACCCATGAACTCTGGGGCACACATTCCTATCAGAGTAGGTGGCACAGGTCATTCTGATGAGACCTTAGATTGAAATGAGCATGTTGTTAACCAGGGAGGACCCGCCAGCTTTGTTACTACTTGTCCAGGAACTTGCCTGAGTTGTCCTTTCATCTTAGTGTTTTATGGAAGGCAGAGCTCGTAAGAAGCCAAATTGGATGGAAATTTGGCTGAGAAAATACCAAAGCAAGTGTTGAAGGAGTGGCTTGGCATCTCATGAATGCTTATAGCATGATGCAAGAAAAGACTAATGATTCAAAGATGTTATTGAAAAACCTGAAAGGAGTTCAGACCTCGAGATTGGGAATTCTCAGGATGGACTGTAAAGGATTTACAAGTTTGCTGTGGAATGTATTTCTGTGTGCTGTGAATATGTGTGGCTCCCATTGGATAATAAAGCTGTCGAGAGAAAGCTTTCAGCCAGGCAGGAAATCCAAGCAGAGATACGGAGAGAAGAAGGGCAGAGTTGGGAGAGATGCTTGCTGCTGCCAAAGGAGCAACAAGATGCTGAAGGAGCAACAAGATGCCATGGCCACGAGGCAACATACAGATTAATAGAAATGGGTTGGATTAAGTTATAAGAGCTAGCTAGCAAGAAGCTTGAGCCATAAGCCATACAGTTTATAAATAATATAAGCCTCTGAGTGATTATTTTATAAGTGGCTGCAGGACCCCGGGGCCAGGTGGGACCAGAGAAACTTCCAGCAAAAAAAAAAAAAAAAAAAAAAAAAAGTTTGTTTGGGAAAGTTTGTGGCCATCTGATAAATAAGGTTGGTTAGACAGCCATCTAAATAGAAGCCAGAGATTATTGTTTAAGAATCATCCACTTGAGTCCCCAAGGGCACCTCAAACAACACAAGCTATTGCTGTTACTCTTGGTTGCCTAAAATAATGAGATGGGAAACCCTTATTGCTGCAAAGACTACTTTCAGTGCAAAACTTGATGAACTCAACACTGACTGACAGGTAACTCCCTACCTGATAGCTAGCTTACATAGTGCTGGAAGGTGCTGTCCAGGCTGCTGAGGGAGGAACAACAGAGTCTCACACAGCAGTGGACCCTGCATGCTACAATTCTCACCTGCTTGGCAAGATAGACCCACTTGTGCACATTGGCATGACACTTATGGAGTAACCAGCTACCATCTGACTGGATATTAGGCTTGCTCCCTGGTAGAGATCTCATGCCTGGTATTGTAAACCTGGTCAAAAGCCCACGATTGAGGAGATTATAGGCCCTAGGGGCAACCTACTGTTGTGGTCATTTTAAATAGCCTTCTAAATATTTCTGTTTATGCCCATCGATTTGTGTTGCTCTCAACTTTGGTCAGAGAATCTTCTCCTTGCAGTGAGTAATGATTAATGCAGAGACTCATAACTGGTCAAAGTGCTGACTATAAGTCACTGTGAGTGCTCAGTTGTAGATGGTTCGTCTCTATCAATCTTCTTCCAGCCAAGGCTCAGGGAACATGGTGGAAGAGTGGGTGGGAAGAATGTAAGAGCAGACAGATGAGGAGAGCTATGAAATGTTGACTTGTGGACATACCATGGCTTTTGCACATATTGACTCACAACACCTGTGATTACCTGCACAAGATTTGCATAAGATCAAGTCAGTCAAGATTCCAGCATGAGTCGGGGTTGGCAGAGAAGCTATTAGCAGCCGATGGTTGCTGAAGAAAGGAAAGTCACTCTCCTTTGGGGACATGGCCATGCCCCTGTGGATGGCCCCACACTTGTGTACATATAGGCAGTGTTAATTGCACATTGGGGCTTATTAACAACAAAAAAAGAAGACATGAAGTTGAGAGGGTGATGGGTATGGGTACAAGGCACTAGGAAGAGATCTAGGGAGGTAATGGTAGAGGGATATGATCAAAATACATTGTGTAAATGTATGAAATTTTCAAAGAATAAACAAAAATACTATTTTAAAAAAGAAATCTTATGTAAAGCACTTAGCATAGTGCTGAGTGAGTGTAGTTGTTATGCTTATATACCAAAATACACTCACCAAATTTAAAGTATTTTGGAGGAAAAAAGATGAGCAAATGGCTAGTTGCAGTTAGATGCTTTTCCATAGAGAATGTGAGAAAGCAAACTAAAAGTTCAGGCTATTTTATAGTTCGACAAGTTTAATGGTTGCCAGCAATTATAATAGATTGATTAAGATCTCAAATTCTGGAGTTAGGCTGCATGAGCTAAAGTGTTACAAAGATGGATAAATCAGTTTGAATTTCATGTATCAATTCCTTGATATATTAAATGCAGAAAGGGGGTATTTCACTGTAGAAAGCTCTTTGCATTAAGTGCTATGTTTCATATAAATGAGTTAAGTATCTGGCATATGGCAGTACTTATCAATAAAAGGGCCCAACCACTAGAGAGGGGATCCAGAGACTACAAGAATATTTCAAAGGAGGGGCCACAGGTACTGTTGGTCACTCCAGTTCCACTGGCTCCAGTGTGGTATGGACAGTCACCTCTCTGGGAGTCACAGGTGGCTGACTTTTCACTGAGCATGTGCATATCCATAGTACATGAAGTCGTGGCTATAGGGCTGCCTGCACCTATATGTCTAAGAATGGAGCTGCTGGGAGCTATGGGAATAAAACCATAGCACAGAACTAGAGAGCTTCTGTTAGGTCATTATTCAGCAGGACCACAGGAGAGAGGCTGTGTTCAAGAGCCCAAGACAGCAGAGGCCTAACATTCGAGCCTAGCCCCAAAGAACCACAGGCTTGTCACTCCAAGCTGTGAGAGCTGTGGGCTTGTGCTAACTCAGCAAAGCTATAGGAGCAGGGCCACCTAGAGCTTGGGGACAAGTCTCTACCCTGTATGGATATGTATGAGGGTAGGACCTCCACCAAGGAAAAAGCATTGATCTGAAGATGATTTTCAAGTTGTAAGATTTT